TTTAATGACAATGATGATGATTCTTAAAGGTAAACTAATTTTTTTAATTTAAATATGTTTCGATGATGTTTGATGTATATATATATATATATATATATATATATATATATATATATATATATATATATATATATATATATATATATATAACATTTAATTGACTTTCTCGATATTTAAAATTTTTCTAAATAACTAAGAAATAATTGGTGGTTTGTCTTTTTATTAATAAGTTTTTTATCTGAAAAAGTTAACATAAATTTAGCTTTAATGGTCAGTACTAACATTCAACTTTTTTGCCACTTAAATCATCTTTTTTTTTTTAATTCTCACCACATTATTTTCAATATATATATATATATATATATATATATATATATATATATATATATATATATATATATATATATATATATATATATATATATATATATATATATATATATATATATATATATATATATATGTATATATATATATATATATATATATATATATATATATATATATATATATATATATATATATATATATATATATATATACATACATATATATACATATATATATAAATACATAAATACATAAAAAATAATAAAAGGATCTAAGATAGATATTGTATAGGTACTTTGATTTTTAACAATTTTTAACTTAAATCACTTATATTGAGTAACAACTTTAAGGTAACCATTGCTCATAATGAGTGTTTTTTATAATTTATTACTTTGTTAAATATTAAAATCTTTCCTTACTCAAATAACTTTATTTTTTTGTATTTTTTTTTTAGATTTAGAGGTGACTCAAAATGGAAAATAAAGGAAAGACTGTATTTTTGTGTATTTGGATTGATTTTGATTTACTTATATTTGTATTTGTTATTTAACCAATATCTATTACTTAAAGATAGGTTTTTAAGTATATCTATCTTGTAAATGTATATAGGAATATGTAATATAATTATATTATTATGTGCTTGTGTATATTTTATCAAAATTGTTGATAATTTTTTAGAAAGCGTTTATTACTTTACTAATTTTTTATTTATTTGTGTAACTGCTGTTGAAGTGAAATGTAAATCACGTAAATTTGAATATTTTTTATGTAAATCAAAGAAAATTTGTTTTCAGAAAATATATTCAAAAACATACCATTGATTTTATATATGTAAGATTTGCTAGAAATAATTTATTTAAATTTTACTTTTATTTATGGAAACTATCCAGCAGCTGGGTTTCCTTTTCCTTCTTTAACGGCAAAAACTTGTTTAATTTAAACGGAAGTATCCGTTTATTTACGGAAATTTTCCAGCAGCTGCCAATGACCAAACTACCTGTTGTTTAACAGAAAAAATCCATTGTATTTTAATGGAAAAAATCTGTTTGTTAACGGAAACATCTATTTACAAGCGATGGGTTTTTCCGTAAAATAACGGGTAGTTTGGTCATTGGCAGTTGCCGGATTTTTTACATAAAAAACACGCTATATTTTTAACACTGTACTTTCAAATTTTTTTTCTTCCTGTTAAAAAAAAGTACTTATGATTAACTGTTTCTAAAAGCATTGCCAAATCAATCATGCGCAAATCCTGTTGGCAATATAATTAAAAGAATATAGTAATTAATGTTTTGTTAAATATATAAAAAATTTATGAAAAAAATATTTTTTCAGTATCTAAGCTGTTATTTAACACAAGTTTTTTCATTTTCATTTTTATTTTATTGCTCTTATGACAGAAGTTATGTTTATAAATGTAAGTTATGTTCACAATTATCTTATTGTTAACTGATAAACTCAATATACAAATAATTCAAAATTGTTATTGTTAATTGATAAAAAAACTGTTTATAAATCATTTAAAATGGTTATTGTTAATTGATAAAGCTATAAATTGTAAAGTGTTTTGTATAATCATACTAAAAATGAATTTAAAAAAGTTTAAAACAAATTCATTTTGTTACAAAATGCCTTCCTCAATAAGATTTTTAATTTACCTTATTTTAAATAAATCCTAGTGGGTATCAACTAGTTACTAGCTAGCAACTAACAACCACATATTTATGCCCATCTTTTATAATCATAAATAATCTATGTACATTTTTTATAACCATAATAATTTATGCACAACTTTAAACAGCCATGATTTTTTGCAATAGTATTAATTAAAAATAAGTTAATAAGAAAAAAAATAAAAAATAAAACTTTACAATAAAACTAAAAGAATTGCAAAACATGAGTAAACAAAGAAATTTGAAGAAAAGCCAGAAACATTATAAAACAATTAGAGAAAGAGGCAGTTAATAACTTTAATAAATTTAAAACAAACCAAAATAATAAACTCATATTGAAAATCACAGATTTTTCAAAAATGACAAGAGCTGAATTGTAAATAGTACTATTACATATAAAGTGCTTAATGCTTTTTACTGGTATTAGTTTTCTTGTGAATAAGTTCAATAATAGAAACTTGTATAAATAAATTTATGTTTTAAGTAAATTATAAATGTTTCAGATTTATTTTTTCCTTACACACCCAAATTAAGTCTATTGCTAAACATTTAGGGATGGCAAAAATCCCGGGAAATCCCGGGGACACATTTCTCAATCCCGGGATTAAGAAATATGTCCCCGGGAAATCCTGACATTGAATAGAAAAAAACTCAATTGAATACTTTTTAAGTACATATCAAAAATTTGAATTAAAAAAAACTTGATTAGTTTAGTGATAATATAACTAAAATATTTTATACATTAATGAACCTAAAATTAAGTTACAAACATTTTATCTTAATTTTGTTATATTAAAACTTGTCTAAGACTTTTAAAAATAATGAACCTAAGTACTTTAAATTATAAAGCAATACCTTAAAATCGTAACACATTATAAGTAAAAATAATAATTAGAAAAATATATAAATATGCATGACTTCATTAATTAAACGGATGCTAAGAGAATTTTTTAATTTAATAAACCTGTTTTTTGTTAACTTTATTAACTAAACTGACTTAAATAAAAACTTTCGTAAATCACGCACATATTTGAAATTAAAATTAATGGAAAGAAAAATAACTTTAATATAAGTCATTTTTTCAATCAATTTCTTCAAAATTATTTATTTAAAAAATTATTGGGGGAGAGGATTAACTGCCCACTCGGTTGCTACAGGCCTGAGGTATACCTTCTATTAAAGTTTTTTTACATTAAAGTTAGTTTAATAGAAAAAACTTAATAGAAGGTATACATTCTAAAACTTTTATTCAAAACACTTGCTCTTTCCACCAGCAAGCGCTAAAATTTTATTTATTTTTAATAATATACTAGTTTTAATATTATACTATATATATGTGTGTATATATATATATATATATATATATATATATATATATATATATATATATATATATATATATATATATATATCAGGGCTCGAATTAAGTGATCGCGAATTGCGATATCTGGAAATGCTTCCGGTCTTTAAAATTTTAGCTGTTTTGATCACTAAACTCAACAGATATCATTTAATATAAAATATTTATGTCGATTATGATATAAAATCTTAATGTAAAACCATATTATCACTCTTATTTTCATTATTATTAAAGATTATAATTTATACTTTAATATTTTAATTTATTTTATAAAACATCAGATAAAACTAAAAAAATAAAGCACGATAAAGAACGATATAAATATTAAAAAACAAGCGCTAATCACAACAATCTAAAGGACTTTAACAGTAATCAAATATTTTAAATAAAAGAAATTGTTAAATAAGATATAAAATACTTTTATATCTTATTTAAATCTCATTCAATATTTTCTTATAAATTTATTGCTTGTAACACTTTAGCTGATACAAATATAAAATTAAAATATGGAGGAGTTAATACTTAAAAACTAATTTAAACTTTTTAATAGTTACTTTAAAACAAAAAGTATATTTTTTAAAAAAAATATACTTTATAATTTTTTTTCTTATTAAATAATTAATTTCTAATTTAAAACATTTAAATTTTTAAATAAATAATTCCATAAACTTTCCCCCTAAATAAAAATCTATTTTAATGTTTTATATAATGCGCAAGTAGCTTTAGCATACTTTTTAATTGGTTGTTTTTTTATACAAAGTTTTATACAATGCGCAAATAGCTTAAGCATAGTTTTTCATTGGTTGATTTTTAAATTACCGCGAAAGTTTTTTGGACCTTGAGTAATAATAATTTTTGTCTTGCAACTTTTTTTTATTTATAATCCTTAAATTACATATTATTAATCATTGTTTAAAAAAATAATAACTAATAATATGTAAATTTTGACTACTATTATTTTTGCAGTAGTAAATTTATTGTTTTTCTTTTTCATTAATTTTTGCAATATGACAAACTAACCGTTTCATTAAAACAGTGTTCACGGTTTTTAAAAAAACTAAGAATTTAATGACCACAGATATTTCCGGATATTGCAATTCACGATCACTTAATTCGAGCCCTGTGTATATATATATATATATATATATATATATATATATATATATATATATATATATATATATATATATATATATATATATATATATATATATATATGTATGTAAATATATATATATATATATATATATATATATATATATATATATATATATATATATTATATGTTTGATCATACATATTTTGTAGACAAGCAATTATGTTTTGAGTTTTAATTTTTAATAAAATACAGAAAAAGAGAGCTTTAAAAGGAAAACATTTCAAAGAGAATAAAGACAACCAAACTACTATACCAAAGATGATGTACAAACTACTTAATTACAATTATAAGCTTACACTATATTAATTTTTACTTTTTTTTGACGATCCCGAAATTTCGGAGAATTTCGGATACTAATCCCAGGATTTCAGGATACACAACTCCTACGAAATCCCGGGATTGCCATCCCTATAAACATTACTAATTTAAAAAAACAAGAACTACTTGAAAATGTGAAAATAATATTGTAATTTTATACTTGTAAGTCTCTTCTGTTACATTAATTTTTCCTTTAATGCCTGTAGACTCTGTTCGACTTGTTAAATTTACAGCATTGCCAAATAAACAATACCGTGGTGTACGCTGACCAATTACTCCAGCAACTACTTCACCTGAATGTATACCAAAAGTTACCTGTGAAAAAAAGCATAAAAAAAAACACAAAATAACATTGACACCGGGATTGACACTTCCAGATATAACACTTTCAAGACAAAGTTTCTTTTATATAAAAATGCAACAATAGCCAAGATCACCAGCTTCTTCACACGTGAGTATGAAAAACCCAACAATCGTCAAGATCACCAAACATTTTTTTTTATCACATCAAAAACAATCACTTCTGAGGCATGAAGAGTTCTGAAAGATATATCTGAAGATTTTGCCATGCATAAGAAAAGTTATTGGCTATAATTTCCCATGCATAAGAAAAGTTATTGGCTGTAATTTCTCATGCATAAGAAAAGTTATTGGCTATAATTTGACTAGTAATTAAAGTAGTAAAGTTTTTCAACAGAGCTGATGCACATTAATTGAACCACAAGGCAGTAAAAAACTTTCATTTTTCTTTAATAAGTTTTAATTATCTTGGTAAATACAAATACAGAAAAAAAAAAAAATACAAATGCTACATTCAAATACCTAATGCTATATGACAAAAATTAAGAAAATATAAATATCTTAGATAAAGTACATCAAATATCAACTACATTAAAGGTACATCACACCACCAACTTTATCACACTACCAACTTCTAAAGTTTTTACAAATATATAAAAACAATTATACTAACAGTATGGCAACTTAAAATTTAATACAACTTTCATTAGTTGGTTTCAAAATTAATGTACATTTTTTGAGAAGTAAAAAATTGAAAAATGAAACATTATCAATAAGATTGCGCAAATAGGAGCGAGTTGTACTTAGTTGCCCAACATTTTCAGTCATTGACTTTAATGGATATTTCAGGTTGTCCTTGGGTCCTGTGAAATAGTTAATTTTTTACTTTTTAGTCCATTTTTAAAATGTTGTTTTTAAAAAGTTTTTTTAACATATTTTCTTTATTATTCAACAGTGATTCTATTTATCTACGCTAAACTAAAACACTAAAAGTTTGTTATTTATTGTTTGTTTTGATTACTTTTTTTAACGATTTCTTTTATTTATAACACTGAACTCTTGTTTGTTTTGTGCAGACAACAAAAAAATAAAAATAAACAAACCAACAAGAAAGTTATACCAACTATAGAAAAAAAAAGAACATACAGTATTGTTTATAATGCTTATAATACATAACACTGCCAAAATATTACAACATTTTTTATTGTCAGTGGCGGTTAGTAAGAATTAGTCTGCATTTTTATGACGATAGTAAAGAGTTAAAGAATAAAAGAAACTATTGCTTTGAGACTTTAATTTGCAAAATGATGTTTTAATTTACAATCATTTTGAACAAACTGAAAAAACTTAAAAACTTAAAAGAAATTTCAATATAAGAAATTGAAAGTGCAATAGATAAAGTGAATTAAATATTTTAAAAAAATTGCATAATTATTCTTATCTAAAGATAACCATTGTAATTTAAGCACTGTTTTGAAAAAGATTTTATTTTAAAGATTGAGTATGATATTGAGGGGAATGATTCTGTATAATTATGTTGCTTGATTTTCAAGATGATTATGTAAGATTATGTTGTTTGATTTTCAAGCAAAATGAATCTTATTTAAAAAAATTACTAAATTTTCTGTTTCATGGATTCCTCATGGAACTCCTTAAAACAGGTGAAAAAGATTGTGATTCACTTAAAAAGAAATTATATGCAATTTACTACTTGGTCAAAAAAAAACGCCCATTTTTCAATTTCCCTAATTTGCCGACTTTGATCTTGATAATAGTTACTCAACAGGCTTGGACAGGAATGATACACAATCGACCACGCAAATGATTTTTTTGCTGATAAAAGATATGCTAAGCTAAACTTAAAAAATTTAAAATAAAGCTTTAAAATAAAACTCAAAAAACTCAAAATCAAAGCAAAAATTACTTTTGTAATATTTTTAATTGTGTTTGAAATAAAATACTTTTAAAAAACACTTTATTAAAGTTGCACAAAATGTTTTTACAAATTACTTTAAATGATTGTTTAATAAATGAACAAATTTTATTTAAATTATTGAAAAGTGAAATTAAACTATTGAAAAGAAAAAAATATAATATTTTAAAATTGTTTAAACACTTTTTCAAAAGTTGCAAATAAAAAAAAAAAAAGAAATTAAAAAGAAAAAAAAAGTCTTTTTAAAATACCAAGTTTTGATCATTTCAAAAAAATTAAAAGCTTTTAAACAATTCTACAAATTGCTCCTACTTGCGCAATCTTATTGATAATGTTTCACTTTTCAATTTTTTACTTCTCAAAAAATGTACATTAATTTAAAAACCAACTAATGAAAGTTGTATTAAATCTTAAGTTACCATACTGTTAGTATTAATGTTTTCATATATTTGTAAAAACTTTAGAAGTTGGTAGTGTGATTTTAAAAAAAATAAATAAAATAAAGAAATTAAATCATTCCATTGCAATGATTTAACTTAACTTATTTATAATTTAAAGTAACTTTAAAAAAAAAATCATTTAAAATATTTTTAGAAAGACAAGGAAAAATAGTTTCAAACATTCAAATTTATTTTAAACAATACATGACTACTAAAAAAAATAATTAGCTATAACATTTAATTTACACAAAATGCGTTTATTTTTAATGATCATTATAATTAATTTTCTATATTATTTAAAGCATTCGCGTAAAATAAAAACTTTAGAAAAAATCAACAAATAAAAGTTATTCACAACGTAACAATTATTTTATTGCATTTAAATTAAAACATCAAAACAGCATTTTTCAAATTGTAAAGAAAATAAATATACAAGCATGGTCAGTTACAGTGTGCAATTGTATGCTATTCCTGTCCAAGCCTGGTACCTCAACTAATCAAATTGCTAAAGATTGTTTCAGAAATAATTTTATAAAGTCGAGATTATCCAATTTTAAGTGACAGCCTTGTAAGCCCTAGAAATGGCAATCCCTATGGTTTACAAATAAATGTCTTGAACAAGCATTTGCAAGAGTTGTAATAACTGACATGATAAAAAACTTTAAAAGGGTTAAATGTAGACCTTACAAAGGACAATAGTAAATAAGGGAGTATCCAGCACGTTAGAGGGGCATCTATAACATTCTCTAATATATTTAAAAATGTAGATTTGTTAAAGAAAATACTAATTTTATATTGAAATTTTCGATTTTTATTTATATATTTTGCCAGATCATCAATCTTTTACTAATATGATTAATAATAGATTGGGCTCGATGGGTAATGTCAGTTTGGCTTCAGGTGGTGATTATGTGGTGATTAAATCTCCCACCCAATATCAATGACATTTTATGACTTTTATATCTCAATGAAATACATTCTAGTGTCAAGAGAAAGAATTGCACGCCTTCCTGTTAAAGCCTGCATTAGAAATATGAACGTCAGGTCAGGTTATCCTGTTACTGGTAAGATGTAATCAAGTACAACCTGCTTCATATCCTGCTGCTTTTTAAGATACGCTTTTATAGGCAAAGGCTAGGAAAAGCCAACTCTGACTTAAAACACCCCCCTGCCTTGAGACTCTTGGTTTTTATGACTAAGCAACTCGGTTTTTATGACTAAGCAACTCATTCTATTATCTCCTAATGAGAGTACAGCTCTAAAACTCAGTTTTATGGTTCTGAGGCCAGCTGGTAGTCAGGTTTCCTTAACTCTGTGGTAGCTCTCTCAGAGAGCTACCACAGAATTCTGGAAACCTGACTACCAAGTTAAGGCTATCGCTCTCAACATTAATTCTCCATAAGCTCTCTTCTTATTTTGTATCAGGTAAAATCATTAAGATTATTGAATCCTTCTATACCAATCATAGTATAAAAGTTGTCTTTGATGGATACCACTTTTCTTCATATCCTGAAACTTCAGGGGTTCCGCAAGATTCTATCCTTGGCCCTATACTCTTTTTAATTCACATTCAAGATCTCCCAGAAAATCTCACACCTGAGGTGGCGTTATTTGCTGATGATATACCATTTATTCTTGCCTTGATAAGAAGCCAACACTCTCTGATTGCTTGTAGGGGGCATTTAAGCTTGAAAAGGATCTCACTTCTGCTACAGCATGGGGCTCACAGTGGCTGGTGAACTTTAACTCAGATAAAACTTAATTTTTTTCAGCAAATCCTTATTGCAAAATTTTATTTTCCTATATTTATGAAAAGTAATGTACTCAAAGAGTCATCTATCCTTCGTCTTCTAGGATTAACTTTTACTTCAGAAGTTTCTTGGAAACCATATTTTAAATCCATTGCAAAATTAGCATCTGCTTAGATTGTGTCTCTTTATCTTGCTTGCCACTTTTTTACTCCTGATTCTATTCTTTATCGCTATAAATCTCAAATCCATCCTTGTACGGAAAACTGTTGCCATATCTGGGGCGGATCTTCCATTGATGCTCTTTCTCTTTTAGACAAGGTGCAAAAATGTAATTTAAACATGGTTAGATCTGCTCTTGCAGCCAACCTTCAACCATTATCACATTGTTGTAATGTTGCTTCTCTTTCTCTTTTCTATAAATACTATAATGGGTACCTTTCTAAAGAGCTAATGTCTCTTGTGCCAACTACTAAAATTCATTCTTGTGTTACTTGTCATTTAATTAAGTGTCATCCTTTTACTGTGACTGTTCCTAAGTGCTCCAAAAATTCTTATTTGTCTAGTTTTTTCATCTAGCATCAGTCCTTTTGAATTCACTTCCTTCATCTTGTTTTCCTGATTCATATAATTTGAAATCTTTTAAGTCGCCTGTTAATCGTTATCTTGCTCTATAAACTTAATATTTTCTCTTCCAACTCAAATAGTGGTTGTTTGCATTGTTCGAAGTGAAGATATTGAAAAAAATAATAATAATAAAAATAAAAAATAAAAGGCTTCGAAATTACGATATTTATTTAATAGACCATTTTACCAAAATGAGTAACTAATTCACAATATAATATCTGAAATTAATGTCAAAACTAATGATCCAATTTATACTATATTAAACTTGTTTATATTATATTATTGTTTATACTATTGTTGTAGATCCGATACAGAATACCAGTACAAGCCCTTATCGATACAAGCTCTGACCTATCATTTATATCTCTAAATTTATATCTAAATGTCTGAGAACAATCTTAACTTTAACACAAATATCAGGAAATCAATCTGTCTTGCAGATAATTCACCTGCACAAATTATTGGCCAATATGACAGTACCTTAATAATAGGAAACCACTTATATTCAACAAAACTCTTTGTAGTAAAACAGCTAGTATCAGCTATTATCGGTATAAACATTTTAAATAAACACTCAGCTCTAACACTTCATTTTGGAGGAAAACGTGAACCAATCCCATTCTGCCTTGCCCTATCTTCTATGAAATGTAAATTGTATGAACTTATTCCTGGAATCGACACATCCCAACTCACTCCAATTGCAACATCTTTACGACGACACAATCTGAATATGGACTTTATTAATAGTGAAATTACTTGGCTCTTAAATGATGATGTTATTCAAATCAGTCAAAGCCCCTGGAGAGCCTAATGCTTTGTCACAACCCTATCAAAAAAACCTCATCTAGTAATCGACTTCTCCAACACCATGAATATACATACTCCTCTGGATTCTTACCCCTGTCCTAGAATAGATGACCTATTAAAAAAGGTAGCTATAAACAGCATATTCAGTAAAATAGATCTAAAAAATGCTCACCACCAAATCCCAATGAAAAAGAGAGATTATTCATTGACTGCCTTTGAAGCTAATGGAAAGCTGTATGAATTTAAAAAACTCTTATTTGGATGCACAAATGCAGTAGCCATCTTTCAACGCATCATGGATGATTTTGTCTCAAAATACCAACTATAAAAAACTTACCATTATCTAGATGACTTTATTATATGCGGATCTAATCAAGAAGAACACGACAATAACCTCTCAGCATTTAAAATAACAGCAAACGATTTTAAAATGAAAATTAACAAAGAAAAGTGTAAGTTTTCTCAAACCTCACTCTGTTTTCTTGGACACCTAATAGAAACATTGAAACCAGATCCTGAAAGACTCCAGGCCTTACAACATTATCCTATTCCAACTAACATTAAACAATTAAACAGCTTGATAGGCTTCTTTGCATACTATGCTAAATGGATCCCTAACTGCACCAACCTAACTACCATTCTGACTAATAGTCGTGACTCAATAAGCAAAAATATTTCTCTTTCAGAGGAAGCTACTACTGCCATTAAACTACTAAAAGACCAACTAACCACAGTGTCTTTAACAACACCTTACCCAAATATTCCACTTAAAATTGAAACTGACGCTTCTCAGACTGCTATTGGTGGAGCACTAAGTCAAGAAGGAAGACCTATTGCATTCTTCTCCAGAGCCCAATCAAGGCCTGAAAGCCGCCAATCTGTCATAGAATGAGAAGCAATGGCTATTATAGAATGTTGTTGCCGATGGAGACACCTACTACCTTACGCTTTAAAATTCGATATTTTAACCAATCAAAAAATTGTTTCCTTCCTTTTTAATCCAGGACAAATTTCTAAAATAAAAAGTGACAAACTTACAAGATGGCGATTAGAACTATTTGAGTATCGATTCAATATTTCATATAGATCTGGACCAGAAAATATTGCAGCAGATGCACTCTCTAGGAGTCTTGCTATAAATACCAATCTTAGTCCACTACAACAACTACATATCAAACTATGCCACCCAGGAGTAACACGATTGAACCTCTACTGCAAGACACAGAATTTACCCTACACTATTGGTGAAATAAGAGACATAATTTTTAATTGTCAGGTATGCTGTGAGCTCAAACCTAAGTTTTTTTAACCCCCGCCTGGTCAACTGATCTCCTCTACTAGAACATGGGAAAGACTTGCTATGGATTTCGTTGGCCCTCTTCCCTCAAAAACTGCGAACAGATACCTTTTAGTCATAATTGATGAGTATTCCAGATAATTCTAGTCCACACAACAGATTAATGGGTTTTAAACGCTTAACTATTACTGGTGTTGATCTACCTGACTTCCTAGTAGAATCAGGCAGTACTGTCCTACATAAAAGTCACCTTCGATTGAAAGGAGATCCATTGGTAGAACCAGTGACTTTGCTTGAAACTGTATCACCACACTATGCACAAATAAAATATATGAATGGCAGAATTGACACAGTATCAACACAACATCTAGCACCGTGTGCCACTCCCCACATTAAAAAAACAATCCAACCACCCGAAACCTTTGAGACATCAATTTCACCCAAAGAAGACAGTTCAACAGCTACAAACGTTAGCAATAACTTTGAAACTGATGAAAATAACTTGATATTACCAACTGATTGCCATCTTCCGTCTGCCACTAATGATTTACCTTCTTCAAATAAAACGACTATTAGCACCAATATTACACTATCGATAACTCATTATCCTGACGTCACTACTACCCAAAACTTACTAGTTAAAACTAACCGTCCACATCGTATTAGAAGACCACCCTCAAAGATTAATTTGTAACAAAACTTAACTAAATTAAAACTATATATAATTATCTATTAGAGGGGTGGAAGACAGTGATATTGTGTTATTGTGTTATTGTAATATTGTGTTATTATATTTATATTATGTATATTGTGTTTCTTTATATTTTAAATAATATAATAAAAACCTTACTACTAAATTACTTGTATTAGTTTTGATCAGGTCTACAACAATTTTATTATATTATCTTATTACACAGAGACTAAAACGTTTCAGTATGTGTCTTTTTCTGTTGACTATTGCATTTATCAGACCTGATTTTTGATTTATTGAGGCTAAGATTGTGGCCATGTGTGGGATGTTTTCTTAGTTGATGGGATGTTATCTTGGTTGATGGGATGTTATCTTGGTTGATGGGATGTTATCTTGGTTGATGGGATGTTATCTTGGTTGATGTGATTATTGCACTAATAGTTTGTTGCCGCCCCCTTAGTGTTTTATTTGGATGTTTTGGTTTTATGCTGTTGTTTTGATTTAGTTTGTTACTTAAGCAGACAGCTGCCCAGTGTCCTTTTTTTCCACAGGTATTGCAAGTTGAGTTTCGGGCATTGCATTGGGACCTATCATGTTGTTGACCCCCACACCAGATACATGAGTGTTTTGTAGCAGCAAAAATAGGACGTTGTTCAGGTAAGGAAAAAATTTTAGTGTCTTCGATTGCTAGTTCCATAGTTGTTGCTGTAAGTTTTTCTGTAAGTTTTTTGCTGTAAGTTTTTCTAGTGAGTCCTTAGATGATTCTAAGAGGCGCTGACGAATCATTGGAGATAAAAGGCTAGCTAAAAATGCATCACTTATTAACATTTCTTTATGTTCGTTTGCAGTTAGTAGTTTTATGTAATAAAGTTTGTAATTTTTTCAAGAATTGGTCGACAGACTCTGATTCAAGTTGTTTTGTTGATCTTAGCTTGTAACGCATCATTATAGGTGTAGTTTTTTTTTGTTTATTGTCAAAAAAAGCAATGCATCTTCAAAGTTCAATTGATTCTCAATGAGTAGGAAGGATTTAGCACCACATAGAACAAATAAAACATCTAATTTATCTGTATCTAATACTTTAGCTTTTAAGATACATGTTTGTAGCATTCTTTTCCAATATAGGTAATCTTCTTCTGACAGTTCATCTTGAAGAGTTTTTTGGAATATTTTATGATCCATTGTGTTAATAAGATAATATAATAAAATTGTTGTAGACCCGATCAAGACTAATACAAGTAATTTAATAGTAAGGTTTTTATTATATTATCTAAAATATAAAGAAGCACAATATACATAATATAAATATAATAACGCAATATTGCAATAACACAATAACACAATATCACAGTTATTAAAGTTTTTATTCCCTAAAATATTTAAACAAATAACATTTTCTTGTCTGTCATGCCAAATGACTAACTTTAGCTGTAAAAATATGTGAGAGGAAAACCCTAATGCATAATTACAAAATTAAAAAAAAAAAAATCAAGTCTGGAGAGCAAAAAATTCAATGCCTTTTATTTATCAGTTATTTGGGACCTTAAATTGTTAAATTGCTAAATCACTATCCACCAATAACATTATACCCCCAATTGAGTAATAAGTATTTTCGTCTAAGTTTTGATTCATATTTTTAAAGAAGGAATGAGAGAATGGGACGAGGAGATTCAAAATGGATTAGGCCATAAATTTTATGTGCCCTTCCATAAATAAAATATTTTCTATATAAATAACAATAAAGGTTTCATCTGGGAATAAATACTTGTATTAAAATTTATAAATATAAAAAACATAGAAAAAATCATTTATATAAGAAAAGCATGACTATATACTAAAAACTTAAAAACTGTTTTTTGATCTTTACTCTGATCAACTTTAAATATATGTACAACAAATATGTGGGATCGTACAACTATATGTACAACAAATATGTGGGATCGTACAACTATATGTACAACAAATATGTGGGATCGTACAACTATATGTACAACAAATATGTGGGATCGTACAACTATATGTACAACAAATATGTGGGATCGTATAACTATATGTACAACAAATATGTGGGATCGTACAACTATATGTACAACAAATATGTGGGATCGTACAACTATATGTACAACAAATATGTGGGATCGTACAACTATATGTACAACAAATATGTGGGATCGTACAACTATATGTACAACAAATATGTGGGATCGTACAACTATATGTACAACAAATATGTGGGATCGTACAACTATATGTACAACAAATATGTGGGATCGTATAACTATATGTACAACAAATATGTGGGATCGTACAACTATATGTACAACAAATATGTGGGATCGTACAACTATATGTACAACAAATATGTGGGATCGTATAACTATATGTACAACAAATATTAGAGTAAGCCAATATAACATGAGAAAAGTAGTGACTTACTATACGGTTTTAACAAACTAACCTGAATCCTTTTTTCTTTAATTCTAATCTCTTTGCTGACATCCAGCATATCTAAAGCAAGAGTACATATCACTTGAGGATGGTTCGAACATCTTTCAGGAAGTCCACTAGCTGTCATATATTTATCTCCAACTGTTTCTACCTACATTATATAATGGTTTGGGAATTTATCAAAATTTCCCACGTGAATCACTTAAATTCTTCATTTTTGTATGAACAATTATAACATAGAAAATTAATTAACTACAATAAATAATATAAGTACCTTGTAAACATAGCTGGTCATGAAATCTACCAGTGTATCAAACTTCACATATAAAGAGTTTAACATGTTAACTATGTCTAAACACTCCATTTCTTCACATAAATCTGAAAAATTAACAATCCCACTGAACATTAATGTGACAGAAGAAAATCTTTCAGTTGAAACTGGTCGAGATTCTTGCAAATCTTTTGCAATAGATGGTGGCAACACAGAAAACAGAAGTCTATCATATAAATGCATTTCTTCTTCAAGTTCTGTATTGATTTTAAAAAGGTGATCACTGACAATATGAAGCTGTTGCATTAGTTCGCGTTGTTTCTGTAAATTTTCTGATAATAAAACTAGATCTCGTGTGGCATCATGTATAGGTATGTCACTTAAACACAATCCTTTATTTCTCATGTCTTCTATGTTACTAACACTAGGAGAGCACAAATATAACATTTGATCTCTCTCCTCTAGGTAAATCATCTCTCCTTTCAAACGAAGATTAGCTCTGCGAGTATTTATTTCATTATTTGCTTGAAGTGTAGCAACAGATTGCTTCACTACATTGTTCTGAAAAGTCAATACAAATGCATTATTGATTCGTGAGTATATAGATTCAAAATCAAATTTAATTTGAGGCCTTGTCAATTGAAAGAAACTTGTAATCTTTGCATCTTTAGTTGTATTAATATCTTTTAATATCCGTTTTAAAGTTGATCCAACTTGCAACAACGTCATGTTCCGGTCAAACAGCATATGAAATGGAAATACTTTAGAAAACTCAAAGGGCGAAACTTTTGCCTCATTCGCACGTGGTATCAAATCTCTGGATGATTCAATTAACTTGGGAAACATAAGATGACATTCATCAAAATCGTTGGTGGTTATTAAAAACTTGATGCTATCAGCATCATAAACAGTTTCAATATCAACTTCAAGTTTAAATAAAATTTTTGCTGCTGCTTTAATTATTCCTTTCGTAACATATTCAAAGTCATTCCTATCACTATAATAATTAACACTAATACTGCGGCTGCTTGCATCAGGTTTTACACGAAAGGTCGGAATCTTAATGCCTGCATAGGATGCGCACAAATGATCATGCAGAGAATCAATATTGGATAAAAAGTCATAAAGACTACCACCCAGAGCTTTTAGGAGTTTGCCATGACTAGAAGCTAAACAATAAGAGAAATAACATTCTCCGAACTCTTCATGCAATTCTTCTTCTTCCAAATCTAAAACAATAAATATTAGATTTTTCTTTTAAAACAAATTCTTGTGCATATGATACAAAAAAAATAAAGTTTGCAAGAACCATTACCATTACCATTGCAAGACTTAACAAGATATTTATTTTGTTATGCAAAATTTACAATATTTTGTTGATATGCAACATTGCATTACTTTCACCATCGCAAGGCATAACAAGATTATGAGATAAATGTTAGAAGATCAATTTTCAAACACTACTAATAATATTGATAAAATTCCCAAGAATTTTTTTTGTTAGTTATAAAATTAAAAATAAAACTGTAAAAGTTTATAAATATTTTTTATATTTTATTGAACAAATAAAAATTTGTCAATAAAATCCAAATGCTAAAAAAATTTTCTTGTAAAAATCTATCCACTATCACCTTTTCATCTCAAAATTTGGTTGATTATGCCAGTCTTAATTTGTTGTAGTTTTTTATTTTTTACTTAAGTTTTTGCTTATTTCAATTTTAACATTTTATTTTAATTTTAAGTTTATTTTTTCCAAAAATTTCAAGTTTTGTGCAAATTTTACAATATTTATATAATACTTATATTGATAGTGTTTCTATTTTATAATTCTGTTTGTTATGAGAATAAAATAAACTAGTCAAAAAATTATTAAGCAGACCTTTCAAAAAATGGTTGTCTTAAATTTAAACAATAATACCTTACAACTTTAAGCTACAAAGAAGCTAAAATAAACAACGACAGTATAAGTCAACAAATTAATCATCAGTTTTAAAAACCCTTTTTAGAAAAAATTTATCCTATTTTTTTTTTCAGAAATCACATGACTGTGCATTAAATTAGGCTACAAGGACTGAAAATAGAAAAACAAATGTTCATAAGAGGTTTCTATAAACTTGTTATTAAGTTATGCTAAGTGTAATTATGCATAGTTATTTCTTTTTAATTATGCATAGTATTGTTAATTATGCATAGTTATTTTTTGTTAAAAAAATGTTGATAAAACAAACTTGAATTGAAATGTGTCATTTATGACACAGTATAAAACATTTCTCACCCAAAAAAGACACTTGTTGTTTTGTTATAGCAACAAGGTTTTGTTGCTATAACAAAACAAAGAAACAGAGAAATTCTCCTCATTTAAATTTTTCTTCCTTTTTATCTTACTATATTTTCAATATTTTTCATTAATTCTAATATTATTTACAAAATGTTATAAAACACTAATATTTGCCTTTTTTTTTTTTAAACTATCTTTTTAATTCTTTAATACTTTTAAATTTCATTAAATAAATTTAATGACTTTTGAATAGATGGATTCATCCTTTTTTTTTCTGTTATTGAAACGTAACAAAATTTTTAGAAATGCTATCAGATTGAGGATACAAAAAGATGATAGTTGGAAATTATTTAAAATGCTAAAAAAGTTTAAAGTCAAGTGTGAAATCCACTTTATATCATACAAGCTAAACTGTGGCAGTATTTTAATAACTACTAGCCATGTATAAACCAAACATGAAGCATATTTGAAGGAAAATTTGCTCTAAATCAGAACCTACTTAAAAAACAAATACTTAATGAAAAAAAAAGACAAGCCAAAAAAAATAGCAGTTAATGAATCTGATCTTACATCTGGAACAGATTGGGACTTGCAGTAGCTTGTGATTTTTAACTCAAATAAAACTCAGTTATTTACTGCAAACAACTATTACAATCCTGTTGACATTCCTACATTAATATATGACAACCCTCTCACTAAATCCTCTTTTTACGTCTTCTTGGATTATATAATATCAACATAACAAGTTAAACAATCATCTATAGCTCCAACAACCAAAACTTATTATTGCTATGAATTATTAATTATTATTACTATAAATTATTGCTTGACTCGTCATTCAGCAAATTCACATCCTTTTACTGTATCTGTCCCTGCATGCTCTAAAAACTTTTATTTGCCTAGTTTTTTTCTCTGCACTTTAACTGTTTGGAGCTCTCATCTCCATGTTTTCATGATTCATATGACATATAACTTTTCAAGTCTTCTGTCAACCATTTTCTTGCTCTTTAACTGTATTCTTTGTTTTCTAGTAACAACCAACTAAATAGTAGTTTCTTGCAGTCTTATTGGGAGCGAATAAGAATCAAAATTAAAATTAAAGTCTGAATACAAACATGATATAAAAAAAGTTTATAAGAAAAGTTAAAAAAAATACCATCAGTAACAGCATTTGTATTAATTACTAAAGATACACCTTATAATATAATACATCTAACAATTTATAATTTATTATCTTGTTTATATCACTGGTTAGAGGCACAACATCATATGGAAATATATGAAAAAGGATTATGAAAAAAACTTCTCATTAATTCTAAAAAAAATTATCAACCTGATATTGACATATCTGGTTGATAAGATTCTTTATTGACATATATACATATACATATATATATATATATATATATATATATATATATATATATATATATATATATATATATATATATATATATATATATATATATATATATATACATATATATATATATATATATATATATATATATATATATATATATATATATATATATATATATATATATATTTGACATGCAGGGAGTGCTGCATTTTCACTGTAAAACATGGGCAGAATGTTGCTACATCTACTATTTTAAACCATTAATTAATATATATATTAGGGCTGTCCAAAAAAAATTTTTTTTTCAGATTTGATTGCATAGTTGTTTATTTTGTGCCATTTGACATATTAATTAACTGTGCAAAAAATCTTTCCGATTAGATAATGTTTAGGGGGTGCTCAATGACCATAAAGTTTTACGAAAAATGTGAAAAACATGGAAAAAGTAACAAAGTTCCACAAATTTCTAAAACCCGGTTAATTAGATTTTTCAGATTTGATCAGTTTTAATTATCTCTAAATATTAAATTCTGAATACAAATTACAATCCACATCCACTTTATACTGGTTTATTAGCAGAGAAATTAATGAAATAAAATACTGCAATACGACTAAAGTTCTGCAGTTTTTGTTATATCAGAATTTTTCAAAATAAAACACTAAGATTTTTGACTCTTTGTCATTGATTAAAATAGGAATTATAAACAAAAAAAATTATTGTAAAGGAGTAACAGTTTCTCAAACCGTAATCTACTACTAAGTAGGTCAACTCAAAAACATATGAGCAATTAACATTTAATTATCGTAATGTTATAGTTCGTGCAATGTTAATGCTAGCGAGGACTATAACTCTTCAGAGTACACTTTCTGGCATCTGGCACTCGCTTTCTGTGATCCTCAACCACCTGAATTAACCTCTGCATTTCAGATTCATTCCTTGTAATCGATTCATTAAACATCGACATTAAAGCCACAGATCGTTCGGCAGCATCATTTACTACTTTCAATGAATATACTAAATTTTTTCCTTCTTGGTATTCTGGAGAATCATTCCAGGTAGCTGGATCGTTGTTGAACAGAAAATCAATATCAACCTTCATTGACCGCAACGCACTTGCTGAAACTGATGTCACCAGCATGTCCAGAGATTTCTTCTCTAGACATTCAATGTTCTTTAATTTGATCAACCTTTCAGACCAGTTCTCACCGTGAAATTTCATGTTGGAAATCATTTTTTGCTTCTCTTCTGTTTTAAGTTTGTTTGAAAACAAAGCTAGTGGGACCAATTCTGGTGAAAGGTACCACAAATGGTTTTGAAATTTCTTGACTGCTGCTTCGGAAATCGTTTTATTCACAACTGCAAACTGCTTAAGTTGCTGAAAAAGAAACAAGTCATTAACTGGCATTTGGGCATGATATCCAAGATTTTACATAAACCAGACTAGCAAATAAGCAAAATTCACAGAAATTTTTTTCCTCTTTTGTGGTCAACTTGAACTCTTCACGAAATAAATAAATCTTAAAACAATAAATAACCTTGGCCATCCAGCGAGCCATGTGATAAGCACCAGGGATCTTGAAATGATAATTTTTCTCTTCTTGATCAGGCAGTTTTCCAAGTATTAACAGACAGAGATCCATGATTTCTTTGTAGTCATCCCTTGGCATTTTAACATGCAGGTTTTCTTTGAGGAATGCCATCACTTCATTTTGTAGTTCTTGCACCAGGGGTATTTTCATTCGAATGTCATCCAGAGGTTTAAAATTTTTTTGATTAACTTTGGGCCAATATTGCTGAAATCTCTGGAAAAGAGGTATGTTGGGACCAGATGATGGTCCAAATAGTGATCCAAACAAGCTACAATGATTCCAAGGTACCACAAATGAAATCCAAGCTACTATGATCTCATGAACATGGTGTCTGCAAGCAAAATATAACAAATTTCTACCTATATGTTTCTCTAGAACTACACATGCATCATTTTCGGAGCCAGTGTTAGAGGCTGTAGTATCAAAACTCATTTCAATAACATCACCAATTATGTCCCAGAAATTAAGCAGATGAATAACTGCTTTTGCTTGGGCTTCTCCAGTTCCAGCTCATAGTTTTGCTATTCCAAGTATTTTGTCAACATTGTGACCTGTCACACCTACAGATAGCCGGTCAACATTTGCTTTAGGGTCTGCAGAATTTGTACGATCTATCATCAGTTTGCCATCCCAGTGGACGATTAATGGTGGTTTGTCCAAATCGCAGAATTCAGTTCGAACAGTGGCTTCAATGTCTGATCGATGATAGGTTCGTTTTCTACGGACTGTAGAACGTGACAATGATCCATCATCGAGGTTCTGTCCACCAGCCCTTGCAATTGCTGCTGCTAGTATAGTAAATTTTGTGTCAGATAGATTAATTCTGTCTAATGTTGATGAAACATCAGGCGAGTCAAGAATTGTATCTAAGATACATTATCGTTTTGGAGTACTTGCTAAACTTGATTCAGCTGACCCTGAAGAACTTGCTTTACTGACTTGTTGTCTGTAATAAACAGGGATTTCTCAGGGATCTCAAAATCTCTATCAACCATTTT